CAGGATGGGAGTCCTACAGCAGAATATATTGTTATGCCCTTTGTAAAGTCGAGCTCTCGTCCATTCATCCTACCCTTGTGAAAGTGTAAAGCCATTCGCAATCATCGAAGAGCTCAAGGAGGCAGATCGTCGTTGCTTCAGTCAGGGGCAGCAGTGTAGAGCGATGTGCAATAAGGATAAAGACGGCTTCCTAGAGACCGTTACTGCATGCGCAAGACTAGCACCAACCTGCAGTTCAAACAATTCGCTAAGACCTTCGATCACAGTTCACTGCTGTTCCGAAAGGTAGACAATCCGTTGCTGGATGCTTGTAGAGTAGGAAGAGTGGTCTACTGTTTGTGGGATCTAGACTAAAGGCAAACCCTGAATAGTACACCTATCACATTGTCTGCGACATTTTGCCCGCCGTGCTGTCAGCCGCAATGTTGTGATAACCTCGTTTTGAAGGCGGCTCCGGGATTAGGCACGATAACCTGCTTCATACCTGAGCGTAGTAGACAAGCGCACAAGCGTTGATGCCGCGCCCCCTTCACGGCTTGGAAGTGCGCGGCAAAGGCGCCGGAAGCAATCCACCCCTTCGTCCGCAAACCCCGCCTTCGGTTGGTTGCCACGTGATGCTGCGAGAATACCGCGGGCGCAGTTGCGGCAGCGGTTCAATATCAATGGCACTGGAACAACTGGAGCTGAACTCGTAAAACTCGTCCAACACGCCCCTTCTCTAAAGATGGAAATAGAGGTGTTCATTCAGGGGGTAATCGAGAGTCTTTTTGCTTTCGTTTCATTTTCCAGACCACTTTCACCCTGTAGTTTCATTAGGGAACGCCCTTTCACATCTATTTTATCCCTAAGCTTGCCTTTAAAAAAGCATGGCGCGCATGACCTTCGGAAAAGCTCACTATGTGGATTATCCGTCATTGTCGCGGTACGCGACTGTGGTCCCGGCGCACCGCGCGCTTGGGCTCTGCCGCCCGCCGGCTTAACCGTGATCGCGTGGCATGTACCAGCTCTAGAGCTTGCTCCGCCTCCGGTCCCGCCTCCAGCCGGGACTACTTAAGCGAGCCGCCTCTGCCAGTCGGCGCACTTCGCTCCGGGAGGAGCGTTGTGCCGGGCAACGCGAGGAAGCTGGACGGCTCGGAGTGCCTTGTGCACTCGGCAGCATGGTCGGGCACGCTCGAAGCGCTGGTACGTAAGCGTCCGCTACACCCGATGGACACTGTCGGCTGAAGGCTGCCCTAAGTAGCCCGCCGATGGACGACGGATAACTGAGACAATGACGCGATGGGTTGGCATCTCCAAGCCTGGCAGAGGATGACGGTGTAAGACGTCGATGTTATTGCCGTCAATATACGCCAATAAACGTGAGTATATTTAATGTGCAGTTGTCAGTCCAGAGGGAGGGGCGCCAGGCTGGGGCCTGATTAAGGTGCAGTTATTATTGTGTGCTGTTAGTGGGATTAAAGCCTGGGCAAGGGAACCCTCGGCCCTTCTGCTGGGACAGCCTAGCGTCGACGTCTAGCGTCGAAGGTGGCTTGCCCCCACGGGTTGTTACTCCTCAAACCCCCTTCCTGGGTTAGGAACCCGTGATGCCCCGGGGAGCGGAGGCCATGCTGGGAGGGAAACCAGCGTGGTCCCCGGGAAGGACCCGTAGGATGACGTGTGCCTGGGAAAGGCCGCGAGGGCCCCGAACCACCTCGATGCGTCGTGTTTGGAGGGTTAGGAGGGCGACCGCTCCCGAACCACGACAGTCACTGTCATTCACCTCGTCCGAGCGTGCGGTTCATATCGGTTATAGCACCAGATCAGCATGTGTTTGAGGCCAAGCTGCCTATGCTCACTATTAGCTAGGTAAGTTTACCGTGTTCATTTGTACTACAGATATAAAAAACAAACTTCTCTACTTGCTGAGCTGGCAAATTCCGATAGGTCCAATAGGATCCTTCCAACTCCCAGAAACGTGACATGAACACGTTTATTGTGAGTTGCTGCAACACTGCCCTCAGTGACGTTGCGTTGTAAAAATTCTAAGCAATTATAATTCGCTCAGTACCTGTTCGCCGTTATCAAAAGTGGCGAAATCGTCGAATGTTTCAAGAATAAATTGCAAGATATACGGCATCTGCCTACGCATTATGTCTGACAGGCGATTGAGGTTGCATAGTGTAATAATCTGAAGAAATTGTGATTTGAATCAAAATTCTACTGAGAGAACAAAGCTCGATCTCCCTTGACGAATTCGGGTTCCCAAAGCATGGCATGTATTTGAGGACGAGAGTCTACCTTGAGACGTGTCCTGCATTCGAACTTCGGCGAACGAAGGTAGCAATGTGGTTGAGGGGCGCCATGCCATGCTTTGGGAACCCGAATTCGTCCAGGGAGATCGAGCTTTCCTCCCTATTTGGTCCATTCACTTGTACAAGGAGGGGTAGTAAGGTCCACTTACCTAGGCCAGTTTTGATGCCAAAGGGTCAGTATCTCAAATCAGTATCAACGAGTTGGAGAAACGCTCGAAAGTTATGCCTCTCACGTACATATTGCGACGTTGACATTTGCAACTACGACCCCCCCCCCTTCGCTCGATCGACCCCCGCGCATGACTTTGTCCAACGGTTGACCCTGAGTGACAGCTTTCGCGACAATTCAAACATAGGTGTATATTCCCAACACCATCGAGACACTTATTTCTCTGATAGGCAGAACATAATTTTTCGGTGTGTTTTCGAGACGAGACTGATGGGAGCGCAAAACGGATGTATAAATAAAGTACACAGGTGCAGTCGCATCTTCGGTTACCTTTCCTGAAGCGTTATAGGAAGGTGCTCCTTCTCGTCCCGGTACAGTAAGCTCCATTGCCCAACGATCTGCGTACATTTTCCTAGAAATACAAAATACCTCGTCTTTATTGCTTCGATGAAAGCGCTGAGATTGGTACCTGTAATTGTGCAACACTTTATATACAAGATTTGATCTGGGATACGCCGAATCAACAGAATAGACAGGATTCACGATCGGGATCGGACGAAATATTGTGTTCTGAAATAACGTGTTTGAAGGCAATCTCTTCACTTCGCAGTGTGTGTTGGCTTACATGAGTTTCAAATTCTACGTGACAAGTTGGTGGCACCAACTCGGCACTTGTCGACGGTTTTTCCTTATCCACGTTGAATTCCAATGGGAGATTCGGTGGCCCGTCTCGAAAACTGGACCTCTTGCTTTGTACCACTGAATAAAGCTATTTTGCTGCATTTGGCAATGGGTGATGTTTGGAATATTAATGGATTGCCCCAAAAGTTCATGCGTATTTTTTCGATCTTGCGTGAGAAATTCCTTCAGCGATTTCTAACTAAAACAACAGTCCCAGCAGTGTTTTAGTTTTCGATAATAATGGGGTGGAAAGATGCTCTAGCCCTAGTCAAGAACATCTGAAAAGTTACTGGACAAAGAGCTCACCTTTGAAAGTTGGTAGAAATTAGTCGAACGCTCTCGAAGTGGGCGGGACCTACAAATTAGTAGACGCATGCAATAGGCGGTCGTCTGATCGTAACGATCGTAAAGATCGCATAACATTGGATGCGTATCGATCGCCCTGTCCGAGGACACGAGGATACGATCGTTTCGATCGAACGATCGCCTATGCATCTTCTTCTTCTTCTTGCCCCTAGCGTTAGTCCCGCGCTTGTTTAGTTTCATCGCTTAGCTGATATCCCTATATTAGATATGAAAGCTCTTCCGCACCTCCCTTTTTTAATAGGTCCTGTCTCTTTGATTAGATATCAGGCCGCCCAAACCGCATTTTAACCGTTCTACTACACATTGGGCTGAACCATAATTTCTGGCCGGAATTTCGACACTTTCATTTCATTGAGTTTTTTCTTTCCTGGAGAATAACTGATCAACAATATAACCACCGTCGCAATCGCTGATACGCATTCATTTGTAGAGGTCGTTTTTTGGTGGTTGTATTCAGTGACCCCTTTCTCTCGAAGGTACTGCTGCAGGGCATCGAGAAGGGGATAGTGCGATGAAGTAATGTTAGGGCTATACGATAGAAGTGGTATCGCGATCCAGCCAGTTTCCTTCAGAAGGTGGCGAGTTATCTTCGCAATGTAAGGTCGGGCGTTCATCCGGAGGAAGGAGATTTTGAGACGTTTCGAATGGTTCTCTCGCACTGCTGCGGCCAACCTCGGGAGTTATTCCATGGTTATCTTCGCAGTGGTTGTCTATATAAGATGAAGCGGTTCTCAAAGTGGGATACCCGACCAATCCTACAAATGGGGGTAATATTCTCTGACGAAAGAGGTCGGGTTTTGGGTGAGATGGTGGGTTCAGGCTGCGAGATAGCCATAAGGCGTGCCGCGTGTTGTTGTCGTAGTGGACTCATGACTCATCTCCACTGGTGACCGACTAGGGAAAGTCCAGGCTATGCCTGCGCAGAATGAAATTTCTGCAGATGGTCAGGTCTGCTTCTCGGTCATGGTCAGAGATGCATGCCGTTCCCATCGAAACTTCATTCTGCTACAGCCCGTTTCATTCAGACAGCTTGCGGTGGTGCATCGGCTGTGCCCAGGTATCTGCTACAAATCTCAGGTGGTAGCGTCCGGGTGAACTTCCGATTCACAGCGCAATGGATCCTCATCGAAAGTGACTGGGGGCTTAGGATGAGGTCAAACTTTGCAGCTTGTATCGCCTTTGCCGATGCTTTCAAGCCAATAGCCCAGTGCCCGATCAGTAGCAAAGACTGAGGCAAACACAGCGCTGGTCTTGCCTACTGCACTCCTTGCAAGGTTCTTCTTTAAATGATCGTTAAGCATAATCGCCTGCTTTGGTCGTTGATCCATTTCGATCCCTACTTACTTATTCCACTGCCCTTTGACCTTCTGGAACATCCTAGTTTAAGGTACTGATGCCTCCTTCAACATACTAACTTATTTCGTAATGACACTAATTTGACATGAAGAAAATTGATTCTGAAAAAATTCGGCCAGGAATTATGGATCAACCCAATATATGTATAGGAAGATGTTTGTGGTGGTTTCCTCTTTTATTACTTGAAGAAAAGCAAAACCCACATTCTGGCTGCAGTCCGACACTAAGACATCGTGTAAGTCGACACTTCTGGCACATTACCCTCCGTGGAGCTGCAATGAGAAAAGGATTCAACATACTGGAACTCAGCGTCCAGCTGATCCTCGGTGATCAAATTAATTGTCCGTTGGGGAAGATATACTGGTACTTAAATTGGCAGCCCATGATTTGTTTTGATGAGCCGTAGTCATTCTCTGTACATATATTCAAAACAGCACTTACTAACCATTCAGCTGACAGCGGTTTGCGCCTTTTCGACAGACAAATTTCTTACGGCCTTCAATAGAACGACGGAAAAAAGCTGCACATGCTCGACAC